TAGCATCCATCCCCAATTTAATAAAATTTTAACCATGTCAAATTTGAGTATATTTTGCGGTCTTTACTATCTTGCAAGTTAGGCTATGTTACTCTATTGATTATTTGCCTGAAGGTACTACGTAACATTACTTGATAAGGTTGTTCGAATCTTTTTTTAAGGCGTTCCATGTCTCTACGATTTTATTTTTTGTGCCTTCCCCAGACAAGTCAGTGGCATTGAAAAGTTCGAGGACAAAATTATACATGAAATTGAATTATTTATACTATATGAGGTGCTAATAATAAAAATTATTCATCCTGCATTGTTAAAATTACATAAAATGTGTATGTAATTACTTATTAAGTATATATAAAAGTTATTGTGTATTGTATAATATTTAATAAATAATTGTTGCATTTTCTTACGAAATGGACTTTAATTTGCGTTAAAAAAATCTTAATTAAAAATCAATTTGTTTAGAGTGAAATTGTAAATAAGAATGTTTATGTCACGTGCATTCTTTTAATAAATCTTTACAAGATTGTTTTGAATTTTACTGTTTGACTCGAGAAAATATAATGTTTAATTATATTCTAATATTAATTAAAAATTGATGTTCAATAAACATTAATAACTAAGGTGCAGATGTCATATCAATAAAATTTAGTACGTATTGATTGTTTTATTTTTTAAACTCTTGCTTTATTACTGAATCTATAATATTTAGCTGTGGTACAAATAATTCCCATTTTAAAAGCGGATTTCTCAGTCTTTTTAGTATGAAAAACTCTTTGTCTTTAATAAGGTAATTTTTTCGTCAGGTACACGAGATTTGGTATGGATTTCGCTAGATCCATTTCAAATTATCGATGTGTTATTTGTTTTTGTTCCCAAAATTATAAACCTATATTCCAAAAGTTAGCTACTTAATCTATCCTAGTGCTGGTGCTGGGTGGGTCTAGAAAAACTTGCAACCCATTGGCGGAAATATTGGGGGCGCATATTGGCCCGCTGTCGCACCAGTTGAAGAATTTTGATTTTACTTGTCGCAGTAAACGTGTTAAATTGTAATATGGTTCCGATTTTAACAACGTAAGTAAACACAAAATTTGGTTAGGATAGTGTACCTTAGGTACAATAATAACGGACGTCTGATAATAAGTCTAATAATAAAATGCTAATTAAAATGTTGGTAAGTACATTTGTTTATGTTGAACTAATTAATTTAAAGTCCTATATTTTACGATAAGTATAATTAAATCACAACAAATCATTAACCTTTATAATGTTTATCTGTACTAACCTCGTTTTGACAAGTCCTGGCTGTTACTATGACTACCAGATAAAAGTTTGAATGAAAATGGAATGGCAAGACTGGGCAAGACCCGTAAATCATGAATTGAGGCAAGCAACAAATGAACGAGAATGGGTTTTGGTTTTGCTGAATCTCTCGATAAAGAATGAATAGTGTTAGCTTCGTTCAAAAATCAAGAACGATTATTTGTAAACCTGATTTTTGCAAATTTAAAACTAATAGTGCGCAAGGTTTGAGTAAATGTACGATTTACATTTTAAAAACGAATATGTGTTTGATTATGTTCCTTGTTTTATTTCTAAGCTTGGTTATATTATCGATAAGTTAATGTAGCGATTTGATAAGGTTGTCTTGACCTTGGATCATTTATTGGTTGGTCCGTGTCACTTTGTAGTTGTGTCTATTGCATAATAGATTTAATACAAAGGAACGACTTTGTTATGTTTCAAATTATCAATTATCTATATCCCAAAGAGCAAAAATATTTTTACACGTGCAGATAAAAAAACTAAAATAGCTTAAATAGCTATTATTTATCATGCCGAAGTAAGTACGTCGCTATAAACTGCCCTTGTAACACATCTTTTAATAATAACTTATGTCGTCAGAGTAAATAACAAAAATTATTTTTATTTTGAAAATTCTAGACCTAATAGGATTTTTTAAATAATAAAAAGAAAAGTGATACCTTAGAAACTGTGGAATATGAGCGCCTGTCAGTATTTTCACCGCAATCTATGTCGCACGGACGAAATAAAAGATTGCCATAAATTTTTAAAACCGATGTCCCGAGCTGGAACACTTTCTGCAGAATGACTGTTGACGGATGGATTTCTGACTGCACTCCCGAATGAATATATTCTCATTTCCACCTCCTCTTGTGATGGTGAGTTCGTCTTTTGTGTTACCCAACGCAGAGGTTTTGATAATCTGTTGAAATAGCACAAATGTAGGCAGTGTAACACGCAATAACAAAGAAAAATAATAAGGTAACTGAGCAAGGCCATGAAAGTTTATGGTTTGTCCTAACCTAGGCAGAACTTTTTTCAGAAACATATAATTAATAACTAATTAAGGGCTACAAGTTTGATCGTTAAATATGTAATTATGAAATTGGACTGGAAATACCACTTCCTTATGGTCTTAATTATGTCAATTTGAAAGTCAACGTTAAAAATTCTTCAATTTGTAATTGATACAGAGGTTTACTTGATTGCGAAGTATGGATTACGTTCACTAATTTGCCCGACAGCCTTGTGCTGAATATAAGGGAAAAGATATTTGTGAACTCAGACATTTGAAATATAGGTATTCACATGTTATTTTAAAGATGTCAATAAACTAGCTTTCGCCCGCGATTCCGTTCGCGTGGTATTAAAAAATAAAAGTAGCCTATGAGTTTTTCCAGACTATGCTCTACAATAATGCCAAATTTCATCCACATTCGTTTAGAACTTTAGGCTACAAACTATCAAACATCCATCAATCCACACTTTCGCATTTATAAAATTAGTACAATAAAAAATTTATTTGCGTAATTCAGTACAAACTACATATGTCATCAGATAACAGAAATGTAGATTTAAAAAATGTATGAGCTCTGATAATTCTAACAAAATCCTCTTTAATACAATCTACTGTGTTTAAATTGTACTACTTATCAGATGAATAAATGCGCAAAATAATCACTTACTCAGAAAAGTAGTCCATATCTTCAACAATATCGGGGAGTTCTCTTCCGTCAACATCAGGTATCACATAGGATAACGCTGTTAATATAAAAGTTGCTCCGATATGAACGAATATCAGTGATTTATGGTCATCGAGATCAAGTAGGTAGAGTAAGTAACACATGATAGTGCCGAGTTGCCCCGAAGAATGACAGAAACCGAAGATTGTCGCTCTAACGTTGATGGCAAAAAGACGTGGCGTTATGTTAAGAAGTATAGCATGTCCCATCATGCCTGTGCTCAGTGCAGCGGTATGTATAAAATCAATATTTGTATCCTAAAACAATTAAACATAAACGTTAATTAATAGAATAGCCGGATTAAATATAGATTATTATTAACTAGCTTTCGCCCGCGACTCCGTCAGCGTGGAATTAAAAAAAAACAAAAGTGAGTAGCCTATATGTTCTTCCTCTACATCTATACCAAACTTCATCGAAATCCGTTCAGCCGTTTAGGCTACAAACATTCATCCATCCATCTAAACTTTTGCATTTATAATAATAGTATGATTACACATCATATTCTCTAGTACAATTTTATAAAATACTAGTCTATTTTACCCATAGTTTCATAGGGCCATGACAACCTGACAACAGACTGAATCGCTAGACAAGGGCGATAATGTCAGTTCACTAACAATAGAATTTGTGAATTATATCTTTCGTATTTCCATTGCCGAGACCAGTATTAGAACATATCTCATCTCTCTCATTCTCGTTAAAGAAATAGAAATAATGTGTAAACCCACGCTTATGTTTTAGGTTGGTAAACAGTAACAATCCGGTCTTTTGTGTGACAAATTAGATAGCCTCGTAAGTCATAATTAAAGATATTTTCTTAATGTCTTTATTTACTGCTTATACTAATGCATCTGTTAATAATTTATTAATGTAACTAATAATGTTGACAGTTAAGAAATGAAATTAAAATAAATGTAAGGAATAGTGCGTAAATGATATAATAATTCTCTATTGCCGTCATTAAATGATAAATTTAGTTGTTTATTAATACATTACTTTGTAGAAATTATCCAATAAGACAAAGAAAAGTTAATTAAATAGTAGACATAACATTCAGTTCAGTTTCTGTTAATAAACTCTTTACTTCTGCATCAAATTGTAAACAAAATATGCGGATTTTTTTTGTGACTGATTTGTCACTGCCTTGAAGAGGCATTTACAGCTCCACCGGGTTTGAGGTGGCCAAACGCGGATGGCGCTCAGCCTAAACCTCGTTTATGTATAAGTAACTAAGCTCAAGAGCTCCCTCAGGAGCCTCGGCTCGAGCCGTTTCTTCTTTATTATTACCAGATTGGGAAAACATGTGGACTTACCTTTATTTGAAACCGGTTATAAATAAGAATGCCTGTCGTCAAAGTGCCCATAATTGTGACGTTTATCAACAAGATATGTTTTAATTTAAACTTCTTCAAAAGGATTATGGTTAGGCATTCTAGAATCCCAAAGAACACTAACACTTCAATGTATAGCATTCGGCCATCACTATTCGTCTTCACGTACAAAAAGCTCCACAAAAAATTGTACACGGTCCAAAATATTAATGAAAATACAACAATTATCCTTGTATTGTATGTATAGAGAATGCTTATACATGTCCTGCTTTCATCTAGACAGTTGTAGGCCTGAAATATAAAAAAAGTTACACTGATTTACCCAAATGACAAACGCTTTTAGCATTTATTCCACGGAAAGGAAAACTACTTACTTTGTGATTTACTGGTCTTATTTTAAAATCGCTGCATAATTTTATTTTATTCTTCAAAGCTGCTTTGAATAGAATTTTTTCAGCTAAGAATATTTTCCGACTGTACAAAAGCCATTGTGGTGATTCAGGTAGCCATCTGAAATGTTATAAATATACACATCAATCTTACTAATCTTACTAATATTATAAATGCGAAAGTTTAGATGGATGGATGGATGGATATTTGTTAGCGTTTGTAGCCTAAACGGCTGTACGGATCTCCATGAAATTTAGCACAGGTTTAAAGCATAGTCTGGAAGAACACCTAGGCTACTTTGTATCTCGGGATAAGTTACAGTTCCCGTGGGATTTATTAATTTAGTTTTTTAATGTTTACTCGATCGTTCTGCAACAGTTCAACATATCTTATTGATATTTGGCACAGATGTAAAACAAAGTCTGGAGTACACATGGGATAAGCTTCATCCCCGAGGTGTCCGGTTCCCGAGGGATACGTAGCTTTTTGTTATTTATATAGTTCCTTTGTTTTCTAATACCACGCGGACGAAGTCGCGGGCAACAGCTCGTTATTTCATACAATCATAAAATTGACTGTAATTGTAAATATCACAGAAATATACTTATAAAATGCATTGTATTGACCAATCAATATAAATCTTATTAATTGTTTAATATATCTTAACATTATGTTTTAATATGTTTATTGCAGTCAATCTTATCAACAATGCATTCTCCGAAAGGTTCAATGACCTTTTTTTATTTATATCGACTTCAAATGCATACGTCCATTGTATAAAAAAAGCATTTGGATTGTTTTGTTACAATATGAACATCATCTTAGCATTTTTTATCTTTATTTTGCATTCAGACGGGAAAAGGGTCTGTTCACGATGTAAAGAAGTTATGTGATAAAATATTTACCTCAGAGGAGCGATGCATACAAGACAGAATACACACGCCATAAAGTTGAATGTTTCCAAGTTTGGCAAACTGTTGGCCAAGGGCACAATGTATGCGATCGCGAACACCCTCGGCAGAGTAACTATCATGATCAGATATGTTCGCCAACTGTTGCTTGCTATTTCACAAACTGAAAGCAGATATGTACATAAACACTTGAAGTAGTTAAAAATTAGCGTTGGTTTGCATTATTGATAGATTTATATACAAAACATATTGTACATACGTGCCAGGAAGTCCAATAATATTATCAATATTTATTGTATTAAGAGAAATGATTTCGATTTTTTATGTATTGAAATAACTCAAAAGTACTTGGCCGATTTAAAACACTCTTTCACATTAAAAAGCTACGTTATCAGCGAGTAACATAGGAACACGCAGACGAAGTCACGAACAACAGCAAGCGAGTTAAAAGTAAAATTAAAACGTCGTAGAGAAATTATTAACATTATTTTGTACACATCACATATACACCACCCTTTTTAATGTGAATGCTTTTGATATACTACTTCCTTGTTACTTATTAGAAAACATGGTGACATGAAAATTACAAAATATAACATACATTTACATGTACCTACTATTTATTGCATGACAGAATGTGGGAGACAATTAATATTTATAACACTATTTCTGCATCTACCTCACGGCCTCCATATGACAATTTTGATCGAAAGCGAGAAATAGCTAAGAATTAATATCATATTACAAAATGTCGTCTATCTTATTCACAGATTAAACACAACTATAGAGTGTACAATTAAATACTAAAAGAAAAGTATGACTTACTCAAAACAATTCCCGTGTAGAAATAACCACTTGCGAATAGAGATCTTAAGAATATTAGAAGATGAAACCATGCCTCGGAGTCACAAAACGTTAAGATTAACCCAAAAAATGATTCAGCGATAATGTTTACGGCTATTACTCTTTTTCGTCCAAAGCTGGTGAGAGAAAATCACTTTTATATAGGCCAATGTACTACATAGAGAAATAACTTTACTTAGGGCCTAAGTCAACACTGGCTGATAGAGGCTCAGATAGCTCAAACATGACGTCACTTTCAGTTCAATTTAAATTTTGGTGGCACTGTCCCTTAGTTTAGGTCCTGCCAAATTATCTGATAACAATCAAACGTGTAAAATATGTGATCTACTCGTATATATAGGATTTTGTTCCCTTATCTGAAAGTGACGTCATTTATAAGCTATCTGAGTCTCTATTAGCTAGCCTTTAGGACGCTATTTTAACATAATTGTAAACAACTATATTTTTGGTATTGAAAACAGGATACGTAAAGCCAAGTTTAAGTATAGATTAGTCAATGTATTCACGAGTATTAATTTGCATATATTTTTCCTTTGGTTTAATTACGTTGTTTGTTAATTTCTTGTAAAAAAAGTTAGTTTACTTATCATGTAGATCTACACTAACATAAATGGTCGATTGATTGTTATGTATTAATTGCTTATTCGTGTGAATAATAAAACACATTAATTCCATTGAAGCGTGATATTCTTGTTACTGTAATATTCTACCTAATTCATATAAACTGTATGCTCTTTTAGTCATGTTTGGAGGTTATGTGCATGTGACGGTATTGATTAGCGAGTTTTAAATATTGTGATCATAAAGGTAGAACCCTGGAAGTTATATAAAAACAATTACTTACATTTTAAACACTTTCTTGGTAACATTAATTAATAAGAATTTGTTATGATTGCTTCTATGATTTATTTTACTTATTACTTTAGCATACTTAATAATTTTTAGTATATCCGACCTTAAGCTGCCAATAGGCGTAACGTCCTTAGCCGATAGTAATACATATTCAAGAACAAAAAATATTGTTGAGGAAAACCGCTGCCGCCAAATACCCGTTACGAGCCCGAATTGAATGTTAGTAGTGCTAATTTGTACATAAACATTGGTATTATAAGTTACTGCGACACTTGTGTAAGTATGTCTTACCATCTCCTTCATTCAGCTTGAATAAAATGAGATAACAATATTTTTTTAGTGGATATTTTGTCAGTGGAACTCGACGGCAATTTGATAAACTTGGTGCAATGTCGACATCCCTTTTGGAGCTTTCAGGGTTGTTATAAATGTTTTTATTACAACATAGCACATTTTTTTTACAATAATGTTATGAATTTAAACAAAGGTACAAAAAATAAAAGTGTAATATAAAGAGTTTATCTTAAAAAAATTAATTTTTGCAAAACTTTGTTCACTGATAAAATTAATATTTTCGTTCAATCTTTTTTATTATGTTTTTTTTTTAAGCTAGAATGCATTAGCACTTTTAACAGGTTTAAAATCTAATCGTTATGAAATGTCAATGTCAAATAAGTGTAACCATCCTTCACCACAGTACCTGTTCTAATTTTCTAAGTCGTTTATACGGAAATTCTTAAAACGGAAGTAGTGCTTTATTGAAACTTTTAAAACGGAAGTAGAACTTTTACCAAGTTTTAGCATGTGGAGTAAACTTTCTTATGGTCACGATGTATGAGAAAATTCAATGTTAAACTTACCTATCAGAAATCAAGCCGAAAATAACGCATCCGAAAACAAAACCCAATCGGCAAATTATTGTCGTTGATAATAATTTAAACTTGTCATCGCAGAATATAAGCCACTATAAAGAAACATAAATTATAATTTTAGGTTAGAATTTATATATTTTAGGTTATAAGTTAATAGCTCACCGATTTCTTAAGCCAAATTAATCCTAAAAGTTTTATACGCCATTTGTGACACTTAACTTCTTCTGTGATGTTATTTAAGATTGAGAAAGAACATAAACTTGAGTTGGCAATATCATGGATCTCTGGCAATTCACATTTTATGTCATTAGTCGGTTTCAATAGAAACATATCTTCGTATTGGTTTAACATTGCGGGCATCATGAGCACGGTTAGTAACACCGTCACAAGCCACTGCCAAGTTCCCATAAGACCTAATACATCTGTCGTTACATCTTCATAAATGGTACCGATTCTGAAAACAAACACTGCATTCAGTATACAGTATGTTAACGCATAACTTACGTTTTTACCTCTCAGACGTGACTATTAACTACTTAAGGAGATATTAAATGAAGTTTGGTTATAAAATCTATTTATAAATTATCATAGACTATTTGAACTGGCGGATAATCTTTGTCTTCTTTTGAAGGAATAAACCAGTCAAATAATTGATCAAGAAAAATCTTTTTCCAGCTTAAAATTACTATTTAATTATTGTGCTAAATCAAAGATTAACTACAGTATTCTGATATTATTGTCTTATTACTGATCGATACTAAAATGTAAATTACGTACATAGACATATCAGCCGCTGTCAACGAATGTCGACACTACTAGGCTGCCTAGATTCTTAAACGAAATATTTTTGACAAGGCATAAGGCCGACTATTGAAACGACATTTAAATATGTAACACAATTCCAATTAAAATTCTAATGTCAGTTAGATTGTTGAAAATTAAAATTCTACTTTACCTATTTTAACATGTAACAATGTTACGAGCATTGAGATAGAGTTAAAACATTTTGTTAATTCTTCTTTAAATTATTCGCGACTTTTAGTAAGAGGAATTCACTACATTGTCTCCTTCACAGTTCATATTCCAACGTAAGACTCCCCGGGTCGGATCTGACTTCCTTATATAGCCCGAATTTCGATCTTCTTTTGTCATTTTGTTCCAGAACATTTTCGATTATTCGAATCACATACAATATGTAATATAACATTCTGGATGCCGTTTCGAATATTCCAGACATCTTTTCGCGAAGGTCTTTTTTGCTACCCGCCAACAGGTGGCGTTGCGATAGAACATTCTAGAAACAGCTCGACTGTTTGACGGGTATCAATTTCGCTACTCGCCATCAGATGTCGCTGCGATAGAACATTCTGGAAACAGCTTGATTATTCCACAGACATGAATCCTGTTACTCACGAATAGATGACGTCGCGACAATAATAAGCAATGAGGTATTTAATATGTAAATGAATAAAACATGTGCTAACATGTTAAGTAATTTTAAGAGGTAAATCCCCATAGTGTTTTCAGTAAATCTGATGTTCATTTAAACTGGTAAGATTTTCCTTAAAGCTAGGGTATTTTTCAATAGTGTTTTTATAAAGGTATTATTTAAAATTCGTAAAGGAGTTAATAATGTTGCGTTCTAAATTGTACCTATTTTTTGAAATGTTATCTTTGGAAGCCTTCTCTTTACAATAGACAGATAAATGTAGCCAAACAAAACATTTTATAGTGCATGCGATGCACCCAGCTATTCATATGTGTTAAAATAAACAATAAAATATCTTGTTATAAACAAAAGATAACAAACAATCTTAATGATCTGTTGATGTAATCATTTGTGCGTATTCTATAATTTATTATGCCTTAATTAATTGAAAATAAGTTGTCTAATGTTTTGCGATTATAACCTAACACACAACTTCATTCCATCTTTATCTTAAATGCAGTTTAAATGAGGCAATTCTAATATCTTATTACAGGGTCGTCGAAGAACAAATGTTCCAACAAGAAGCCCTGCTTTAATATGACACTATTGGTGTAAAATAACTGGTCTGTTAATTATGGAATTCAGTGGCGCCAAGTATCACATAGGGTTAACATATAAAACCGGCTTCACACGATGCTTTTCTATTTATAATTGTTCGGAATGTTGCCATGCACATTTTTATGAGAGATGTTTGCCCTTGATGCGCTGTAAAATGACTATGTGGGCTTTCTTTCCAGTGAAGAGTCTGAGGACTTATACATTGACCCAAGGTATAACATGTTATTCAAACTGGAAGACAGATTTTCTGAGGAGATAAAGTTTTTTAAATAGTAGAATCTTTGGTATGTGTGTTTTAGAATATTACAACTGAGCCGATTTATTCAGTAATGCGTTGTGAGTCTGTATTCATCACAATACTGCCGTTAAATAATAGTCGTGTCTTTGTTTTCAGACGTTTCTGAAGGTAACTAGAGACCTAATTATTGTTAACGAGCCATTCTTAGTAGTCAAGGGCATAATGCATCAATACGTCGGTATCCTATCGGAATTACAGGTATGTTTGTTTTAGTAAAATATTGAATGGCGGAGACAAAACTCCATACTAGTAGACACTAGAAAGAATGTAAAGTTAATACAGCAATTAGAATCCGTTTCTGTCTATATAAACACTAATATGTGTAAATATACTAATATACTACCAATTATGTGGAAAAATTAATTTTATCTTGTCCGATGTTCGTTCGATAACTGTTGCTAAGCTCAGATTAGATTAAACTTATTACGAGGTACACAAGGTAATATTGTTTATAACTTTTCAAGCTATTTTATTTATTTAATTGTTTATTTTATCTTCAAGTAATTAAAAAGGATTAAGATCAAGGTCATATTTTGACATAGTATGTGATAAAAATATATGACATAATTTTTAATTCGTTTGATAATGACTTTTATTAATATATCTTTTTCCACAAATGTACGATAAGAACGAATAAAAACTGATAACTATCTGAACCTGGTGTGCGTTGTTGCCACTTGCAGTGAAAAAAATACAAAGAAATATAAAAGCATATTGCAAAAAGTTGCATTTATAGTGAATACAGTTTTTGTACTTTTAATTTTGAATTGTGTTTTACAGAAACCATCGCTAAGAAGACAAGGAATCTGCACTTAGCCCACGTGGTTGACTGAAGACTAGTCACCCCTAACTTAGTAATAGAATAGTGAGTATGATGATTATGAGTTTCTATCGCGGCTGTCATCAGAATATTCTAAGGCGTTTCGTTAAAAACAAAAGAATCTTTGTGAAAAACAAAGCATTGATTTCAATTCATCACGTATACCTGAATTCTTGGGACTGCATTTTAGATTACAATGAAAATATTTTGAACTATCTTAAATCAAGATTGTTGTTCATCAAATACCTCAATTTAATAATAACACTTGAAAATACTTATTAATATGAAATGCAGTAAAGCGTAATGTTTTCCCTATACGACTTATTATTGGATCACGATCATCTAATTTACTTTGTTACGTCACACTGTTGCGTGACTCCGTAAACATAACAATATTTATAATTTCATGACCCATTTTATATTCGTTTCTAAACGCCGTATAATATCGTGTAGGTATTTATTATTTTAATTTGAAATGATAGTAAAAATGTGTCCTTTTTAATATTGTTTTACATTTAAATGAGAATTTAATTCTTGGTGTAATGTATGATTTATGACAAAAAATTAAAAATTTTAATTCATGTCTGACGGTAGATTTTTTTTTTGATTGATTGTTTTAATAATTACTTTTGAAACTTACCGAGCTCGTTGTGAAGTTTATGGAGTTGGGTTGACGCCTCTCAATGGACAGGTATGATTTTAATTTATCGTAGATAAGAGACGATGCAAGTTTTTCACTGTATTGCGGTAACCGAACGCTGCGGCCGGCGCCAAACGATAACCGACCATTCGCTCGCTCGCCGGCATACCCGCCTGGCGTGTCACACGCGCCGACCACCCGTCACCCGTTAATGTTTGTGATACAACCAGGAATATTCAAACAGGAATAGGATAACCAAACTCCAAAATGGACAAGGACCACGCTTTAGAAGAGATGATGGGGAAACTCGGTGAGTTATCATTCAGAATAGCTAACATATGGTATTCAGAACTTACGTTTCTTAAAAGTAGTCGCGGCACTTTTACATTTCATATGCGTCCGACGTTACACGTATGAAGTGGTAAATAGTAATGTCCCGGTTTTGCTCACTTGTGGCTTAGTCGCTGTGTTCGCTTTAAACATCTGCATGTAAATTCGAATACGAAGTTTAACTTTAAAATTTATTACTAAATTTGATTAGGAAAGTATGTTCAATTTTGTATAAAAAATCACGTGGTTTATTTTATAAATTAATTTGTAACAAAAATTTATATCGCTATTATTTTTTAGAAAATAATCAATTGCAAAGTAGGTGTTAATTAACATTATTGACTTTGTTAAAACGTAACTAATTATTTTAATTATCACGCAATTAGTTTTTAAAGTTTTCAGTACTATGTATATCTATGAATCTTTTCCTATTACTGGTTAAAAGTTACTTTTAAAATAACAATGTACATTTTCTGGTTCAATATTCATATTCAGGGTTGATAACCGGTTGATACAGCGACCTTGTGACAATCTAAATAGTTATTATAGTGACGGAGATACATTTATCTAGTTTATGGATTTAACCTGATTCAACGTACGAATTCTCGACATTTTGGAACATTTGCCAGAGACTTTGACATTGTTCCCGCGCGCCACTTGAACACGATCCCTTGCCACTTCTGTTTGTTTTAACTCTGTGTCATCGTTCCCAGTGCTATATTTACAAGCTGATAAACTATGTACTTATCAAAAATGATTTATATAATCATTAAAAGTTAGCTTTGAAGTTAGGTTCAAGGTTAACTATAGTTATCTATCAAAATTCTGTAAATGATTTTTTTTTATTTTCTACGACATTCTGTTAAAAAGTATCTAATTTTTTATATCAATTATTTTTTTTAATATGCCTGTGAGTTAATTTTTACTATCAAATAAATTCATTGGATAATATGAACACTGTTATATTTCAAAGTACCCGACGTAAAAACATTTTTTTAAATTAATTAAAATGTATTTTCCATTTTCTTTTCAAATATTAATTGCCATATAATAGAACGTAGAAAAGCCCTTAGTTAAATCCAAGGTTACAAAATTGGTCTGATGATGGTAACAATGCTGTCTGTGACCAACAATATTTTTTTACTTATTGTTCAATGAATAACCTGTTTTTTACTTAAAGGTTTTTCATATGTTTACAAATGACAACAAAAGGCATTACGTTATAAACACTAAAATGCCATATCGATTTCATTGCACTGATTCCTGTACTAATAAAAAATTAAGGTCCAACTAATTTTTAGTTCAATTTTATTATCAGGAGGATTTTTTAGTGAAGCAATTAATGAATTGTATTTAATCCGTCAAGTCACATAAAAAAGTTAAGAGTTTTCGCCAAACGGTCGTCGATTTCTTCGCAATATCATCATAGAATATTGCCCTGTTAAGTAAAGACCGACACGTGATTATTGTAGTTTTGTTACAGAACATAATTATATGGCTTCTGGCTTATCTGGAACTGGTAATCAAATCAGTAGAGGTTACCCGACTAGTGAGGGAATGAGGGAAGTAATATATTGGTACGTGTTAATTTTTATCACCTCGTTGCTATTAACATCTTGGATCTAAAAGTTTCCGTTCATATTGTTTTATAGTCGTTTTGTGTGAATACTAATAAGTTGCGTGTAGAAGTTATTGTTGCGAGTACATTGGGACACGGACGATATCTGTTAGGGTTACTGACACAAAATGTAGGACGTCGGTTCAACATGCAAACGTTTGAATACAAAATCGTATTAAAGTAGTGATAAAGCATTTAATGACTATCGATTGATTGATCACGTCTAAAGGCTGTGAGGTCGATAATGTATTTTCATAGTTTTTTCCAGTGACAGAAAGGGTTTTATCATTAAAATTTGATGTGTATTGTCAGGCCTAGTGTGACTATTAAATTTCAAATGGAATTTCAAATTAAATTAAATGAATATTATAGTACCTAGACTAGATAGAGGGTTTGTGTATCAAGGTGTCAAGATTCCATTAAGGAAAAAAACAAGTGTGAAGATTCGGACATCATTTGTTAATGATAATGAAACTCGACGAGAGGTTATAATAATAACCATCAATCTTTGTTTCTACCTCCCGCAGTAATCAGGAATGTGGTACTATTCCACTGTTCATTTTTACCGTGAAAGCATACATTGTTGAAATACGAGCGAATTGACGTCATTGTGATAATTTTTGTGATGATCGTAAGACATTTTCGGAGATTTTCGTGAAACATATAATTTAGCAAAGTCAATGAACTAATCCTGAATAACGTGAGAAGGATTTTCAATGTTACTTTTTTGGAATATGGCCAATGCATTGTTGCATTTAGTAAACGAATAAAATGAACTAGAGGTTAGATAAAGACGTCTACACCCACTGACATTAATTTCAAAAAAATAAAGTAATTGAGGACATAATATATTTATTTAGTTCGCTAATCACATTTGGCGAATGGTAATATTTACATAGTAGTCGGCTTATTTACATAGCAAATTAGAAATACATAATATAATCACATATTATATTTCTACGTTGAATGTGACTAAGCAAAACATTTTTCATGTTTTAATCTATTTAGCTGTTTATAAAACTGCAAGGTCAATATTGGGTATATTTAAATAGAGATAAACATACATATTAATATCATAAATGCGAAAGTTTGGATGGATGTATGTTCGATACTACATATCTCTGAAACGACTTAGCGGATCTTGATGAGTTTTGGCACAGACGTAGAACATAGTCTGGTAGACCAAATAGGCTTAGTACGTAATTCGTCCGCATAGACGGAGTCGCGAACAAAAGTTATATGTATTTAAAAAGAGCTAACGTATTTCATTCACTGTTTTAAGACAAATTTTATCTATACTTCTATACTATTATAATAAAGCGTAAACACACACTTCTTTGTTGCCTAAGATGTCAACAATCGCAGCATATTTTTGAACAATTCTTTTTTAATTAAAAAAGCCCTACACTTACGTCACGTTCTAGGCTATATATTTTTACCTAATTGAACTTAAGGGGTAAATTTTTGGATTAAAACCCTAATGTGGGAAAGAGACCATAAGTTGCTGCCAACATCAAGAAACCAAGATTTTTCGTGTCATGTAATTTTGACATTGGCTATTGATAATTTGACAAATGTAAACAATAAAATGAAATTTTCATAATTTCATGCGGATGAAGCCGCACGAGAACAGCTAGTTAATAATATTTACGATCCGCAGGCTTATTGGACACTTGCAAGACTAAATGACAGTGGGAGAAGTTATTTGTAATCAAATATGTTGCCCACATGCAGTAACATGCAGATAAATATTTGCTCACTTGGTCTACAACATTGTGCACATCTAAGCATTACAGATAATTTAGTATTTAGCATTACATCACGTCCGATCAAATATCATGCGTGTTGTAACTTGCTTACAAGAGAAAAAGAGTATAATAAGCTTGTTACTTAGGTATTGTATTTGCGTAATTAAGATAACTTGATTTATAAAGAGTTCTAGGTACTGCTTTGTATTGTTACAAAACATTCCAACAGGAAATAAATTTGTGTTTTAGAAATTAAAAGTGCAAAAAAAACAAGTTATTACAATAGTATTAACATACATAGCATTTGTCTTTTGTCTTGGAGGTAAAACGTTAAATCATACTTCTTAGTAATATTATAAATGCGAAAGTTTAGATGGATGGATGAATGTTTGTTAGAGTTTATAGCCTTAACGGCTGAACGGATCTCGATGAAATTTGGCATAGACGTAGACGATAGTCTGGAAGAACACATAGTCTAATCACTATTGTTTTTTTTACTTACATTCGTACCAAGTCGCGGGCGAAAGCTAGTTCAAAATAAAACAAATGCATCCAATTCATTATATCGAGTAAAGGAGCTTATTGCTGTTAACAACATATTTTTTTATCACGTACAGCTATCATATCAGAAACTTCATAAAACGTGATTTATCAGTATGCTTCAACATTACGCCGACACATAAATTATTGGTACTTTTTATCAGAATACACCTGGTAACAACATAAATAGATTTTCATATTCAGTTTACTACCTAGTATGGTTATTAACTTAGAATTTGTACGGACAATTGGTAGGCGTAGATGACAAGTTACTTCGATTGAAAAAAAAAATTCTTCATGAAGTATGAAAACTAATTTACCATTAAATTGTGATGCTTATTATCTTTAGCTATATGACATTATCCCCTTATTTTTTAAATGGTAGAATGTTTGACGCCATTCATTTTAGCATTTATCTCATCTTCATTTGGAAAACAAATCGATCGTTTGTCCTTCAAAATTGTATTTTGCATTTATAGATTTTGGCATCCAATGCTGAGATGCATTTAACGGTTGAATCGTGAAACAATGTCAGGGGCATTGTCTTTATTACAACGCATATCTTTTATTGCGGGATTTAAATAAATTATTAAGATGTACATATGATCAGTTCAAGTTTGGAAACTATGAAACTTTTGGAAGCAGTGATAGAAGTATTAAGTGAAACGACAATCACATTCAAAATTAATTGTGTTGGCAAAATAACGAGTTTTTATTAAAAAAAAAAAACCTTTACGCGATAAGACCAATGTAATAAACGTATCTATTTTTTATTGATATTATACAAATTATGCTGCGTTTGTTCAACAAAAATTGTGTCGAGGACGTCACTTTCATTTTTGACACGAAAGGTCGGTTTATGAAGGTTTTTGATAAGATACTAGTTCTGGGTAAAGAATATAGATATAGGACCTTCACTTGTTACTTCGCCATGCCAAAAAAATACGCCAAACTTAATAATCAAAATGTTTTCATATTACGATGTAGTTAGTTTCATTTCACTTAGATTATGTAAAATTATGTGAAAACTAGTTTATCTTCTGTATTTTTAACGCAATTTAACTTACAAATCCT